TACTTAAGCCTTTTCCAGTGATGTAAAAGCTTCCATTACCATTAAACTACTGTCACAGTAACCCAGCAGCCTCCAACGTATTTTCACAAGAAAACCATCAACCACAAAGTACGATTCAGGCACTCCAACACCTTCTGTAGCTGTGACATCTCACATCTGTGCACAGCTACCAGCACAGATTCGACGAGCACAGCTACCCACGTGGGACCCTGCAACACAGCGACCCAGAGCAGGGCTGTGGGATGGGAGCGCCACTTTACTGCCTGAAGGGCTACTTTTATTCCTGAAATTTGCACATAACTGGGGGGGGAAAAAAAAAAAAAAAAAAAAAAAAAAAAAAAGAGAGTTTAATGCAAGCACTGTAAGGTTTCTGTTTGTTTACAGCTCTCTTAGGAATCATGGGGTCCTTCGGCCTGATAAACAGTGAGTGCCTGGAAATTCTCGTCCTCTGTGCAAAAAAATTAAATTTGGATTAAAAAATACCATGGAACTCCAGTTATCATTATTCTTTCAGTTAGGGGGTTAGGCCTTACAATAAAACATGCTTTCAGACACAGCAGTGAGGCCTCCAGCAAAGCCTAAATCAAACTCAGCATTCCTGGTATTTCAGAGCTCATGTTTTCAGGCTGCAGACATTTCAAGTTCTTTTTATACCTCACAAAGACAGCAATAGGAAGAATATAAACTTAACCTTCGTGAAAATCCATCAGAAGTAACATTCCAATTGCATCAACCTTACATAATTAGATATTAAAGTACTGCAGCACAGAGAAGTCTGGCATAAAACTTAAGCTGATTTCGTTTGAGATAACGCAACCAGCTGGTTACAATGTGTGCTTGGAAGAGAATGTGCAGCATTTTCATTTTTAGAGAGAGCAGAAGGATGGGCGAAGGATGCAGCTCCTGCCGGGCTTGCTCGAGGCAGACCAGGCTGCTCGAGGGCTGATGACACTTTGCTGGGCTGGAGCACCGACACATGCAACGCAGGGAGGGGAGAGAGCAAGAGCCTCCAGCCCATGCAATGAGCCCACACAGCTCTGGGCCGTCAGAGACACAAGCACTAGCATTTCTAAGAAAATTGACAAACACCAAGTGGCACCAATACAACTTACATAAGTCAGCCTCTAAGCATAAGTCTCCCTTGAATGAGAATTCTGAAGGGCCTCCTTACGCAAAGCTTTCATGCAAGTATATTTGGTAACAGTTTTTTTAGCTCTCCTTCTGCTCCTTCCTCTTTTGTAGCCCTAATTCTTTTTAGGATACAATCCCTCCCCACCGAAGCCAAATATTTTATCACGAGCCAAACAGTGTGACATCAGATAAGAAATAAAAGCAGAAGCAGCAAACGAACTCTTCAGGAACATTGATCCTGCTTTTATGCAAACTCCATTATCTTGTTTTTAAGTGACCCAAAGTACTGAAAAATATACTACAAAGAACAATCCTGATCTAGTGGGGAGTTAACATGGCAGTCTAATCTGCTTTTGAAGCCCAGTAGTTTGTATTTCTCTTTTAGAGGACTGTAGCAATAACCGTTTTCAGTTTTGTCTTCCATGCCCCCCTGCCTAACATCCCCAGTAATACGAGTAAAGTCTTAAGACATCCAAACACTATTTCTTAGAAAAGATATTTTCTGCTTGAGCAGAATGGACTCGTCTGCATCAGAGGAAGCTACCTGCCAATTTTTGCAGCGCGGCCTTTGATTCTCCTTTGACACACCTAGCAGAAACCCCACCCCTGACTGCTAAAAGACAAAAATAAATGTAGGAAGAGAAAACCAAAGTCTGCCTAAGCATCGGTGCTCCGTGGGCATTTTTTCCATACCACATTGGTTTAGACTGATTTTACCATTTCTTCCATACTTAAGAAAAACAAAAAAGAAACAAAAGCCACATTGATATAGAGAGACCAGAGAGCATAACTGCTCATTATCAGAGTCGATCAGCAAACAAGACACACCGCCCCCAGACCAATAAAGAACAACACAGAAAGGGAAGAGGAAGAGACCAGCAACTTCACTGTCTGCATTTCCAGACCTCCACTTGACACTGCTCAGCCCTTCTCCTGATACATAAAAACTGCTTTCAAAATCAGGTTCACCGCCAGAAGGCTGCTGTCTTTCTAACTCCTCCAAGCACCGCTCCCCCAAGACATGAAAGCCCAGCAAAAAGCACGACATCACCGGTATGACCTTATCCTAACGGCGTTAAGAGACCCATGCAGCGTAGAAATAGCGATCAACAGGAAGCCACAACCTGAGCAGAAAGACAAGGGCTTTCACACAGAAGAGAGCTGCACGTGGCTCCTTTCTCCATCTCACCCGCTCCCGAGGTCCCACTTTGTCTCGGCCAGCGCTGCGGAAAGCTGTAGGAAAGCTGTCAGCCCATACCCTGCTCTGCAAGGCAAGCAAGTTAAAGCCTTTCACCTGAAAGTCTTTGGGAAGCACGATCCAAAGTTCCTACGGCAGGACCCAGCTTCTGACCGAAGACCACAAGCCGAGCATCATCGATGGCCAAAGCCTGCGCTAGCACCTACCTGCACACGGCCAGGCTGCACCCCGTGTTTCACAGATCAAATTAACACCAACAGAGGGGCTGAGCAAACCCCCAATTAACATGGGGGGTCTGAGCGAACCCCCAACTAACAGCAACCGAGGAGCTGAGCAAACCCCAAATTAACACGGAGGGTCTGAGCGAACCCCCAATGAACACCAACCGAGGGTCTGAGAGAACCCCCAATTAACACCAACCGAGGGTCTGAGAGAGAACCCCCAATTAACACCAACCGAGGGTCTGAGAGAGAACCCCCAATTAACACCAACCGAGGGTCTGAGAGAGAACCCCCAATTAACACCAACCGAGGGTCTGAGAGAGAACCCCCAATTAACACCAACCGAGGGTCTGAGAGAGAACCCCCAATTAACACCAACTGAGGGTCTGAGTGAACTCCCAATTGACATGTAGGGTCTGAGCAAACCCCCAAATTAACACGGAGGGTCTGAGCGAACCCCCAATGAACACCAACCGAGGGTCTGAGCGAACCCCCAATTAACACCAACCGAGGGTCTGAGCGAACCCCCAATTAACACCAACCGAGGGTCTGAGAGAGAACCCCCAATTAACACCAACCGAGGGTCTGAGAGAGAACCCCCAATTAACACCAACTGAGGGTCTGAGTGAACTCCCAATTGACATGTAGGGTCTGAGCAAACCCCCAAATTAACACGGAGGGTCTGAGCGAACCCCCAATGAACACCAACCGAGGGTCTGAGAGAACCCCCAATTAACACCAACCGAGGGTCTGAGCAAACCCCCAATTAACACCAACCGAGGGTCTGAGAGAGAACCCCCAATTAACACCAACCGAGGGTCTGAGAGAGAACCCCCAATTAACACCAACCGAGGGTCTGAGAGAGAACCCCCAATTAACACCAACCGAGGGTCTGAGAGAGAACCCCCAATTAACACCAACCGAGGGTCTGAGCAAACCCCCAATTAACACCAACCGAGGGTCTGAGAGAGAACCCCCAATTAACACCAACCGAGGGTCTGAGAGAGAACCCCCAATTAACACCAACCGAGGGTCTGAGAGAGAACCCCCAATTAACACCAACCGAGGGTTTGAGTGAACTCCCAATTGACATGTAGGGTCTGAGCAAACCCCCAAATTAACACCAACCGAGGGGGTGAGAGAACCCCAAATTAACATGGAGGGTCTGAGTGAACCCCCAATGAACACCACCCGAGTGGCTGAGAGAACCCCCAAATTAACACCCACCGAGGGGCTGAGTGAACCCCCAATTAACACCAACCGAGGGGCTGAGAGAACCCCCAATTAACACCAACCGAGGGGCTGAGAGAACCCCCAATTAACACCAACCGAGGATCTGAGCAAACCCCAAATTAACATGGACAGTCTGAGTGAACCCCCAATGAAAATTACCCGAGGGGCTGAGAAACCCCCCAAATTAACATGGAGGGTCTGAGTGAACCCCCAATTAACACCAACCAAAGGTCTGAGAGAACCCCAAATTAACACCAACCAAAGGTCTGAGAGAACCCCAAATTAACACCAACCGAGGGGCTGAGAAAACCCCAAATTAACATGGAGGGTCCGAGCGAACCCCAATTAACACCACCCATGGGGCTGAGCGAGCCCAGCGCTCGCTCTCACCTTCTCAAGGGGGGCCGGCCCGGTGCCGGCACCCCGAGCCCCGGCGGGAAAGCCGTGGTTTGGGGAGCGGGGGGGAGGCAGGCCCCAGGGGGGCACGCAGCCGCTCCCGAGGCGAGGGGCTCCACCGCCCGGCACCCCACGGGCGGGGCGCGGCCTGCCACGAACGCGCAGGGAAGGGGCGGCAGGCCCGAGGCCAGGCCGAGGGGCACCTCCGCCCGCGTCCCGTGTCCGTCCCCCCCCCAACACCGCCGCGCGTGTCCCGGCGCCCCGCTCCCCCACTCACCCTGCCGCCCCACGATCTCGGCCACATGCTCGGAGCTGGGGACGGGCACGCACTCGGTGGTGTTGACGCTCTTTCGGCGGAGCAGCCCCGCTGGCTCCCCGTTCAGGCCCGCCGCCGGCCCCGGCCCCGGCCCCCCCCCCCGCCCCGCCGCCGCCGCCGCCGCCGCCGCCGTAGGCGTGGGACAGCATCGCCGCCATCATGCCCTGCGGATCGCCCGCCCCGCCGAGCGCTCCCGCCGCCGCCGCCTCCTGCACATCGAAGGCGGGCGAGAGCAGGACGGAGCCCAGCGGCGGCAGCAGCGGGAGCGGCTGGGAGGGCGAGGAGGACGAGGAGAGCAGCAGCAGCGCGGCCGGGTCCTCCTCCTCCTCCTCCTCCTCCCCTGCCAGCAGCTCCTCCTCCAGGTGCCCCTCGTCCCCCGCCGCCGCCTCCTCCTCCTCCTCCTCCTCCTCCTCCTCCGCCCCGCCAGGCCCCGGCTCTCCGGGGGGGTCTGGCGGCGCCGCCAAACCCGCCCGCCGCCGAGCCGCCCCTCCCAGGCCGCGGTGGCGGAGGCCGAGGCCGGAGAGGCGCTGCTGGAGCAGCAGCAGCGGCGGCGGCGGCGGGTCCGGGGGGAGCCGCGGAGGCTCGGCGGGCTCGCCGGCGGGGTAGGCCGCCACGGCTCTGACGGTCGGCATGGAGGGGTGACGGGGAGGGAGGGGAGCGGCGGCAGCGGGCCGAGCCGGGCCAAACCGGACTTAGCGGCCTGGGGCCACCATGCCGCGAGTGGCAGCGGGGGCGGCTCAGCGAGCCTCCCGTCCCATGGCGGCTGCCGCGGGCGGCGGCGGCGGCGGATCGAGAGGAGGGCGGCCGGGGGGGGGGCGGGGGGGGGGGGGGAGCGGCGGGAGGGGCGGGGGGGGGGGAGGGAAGGCGGTGCGGCCCCGCCCCCGCGCCGCAGCCGCGCCATTGGGCGGTGGAGCCGGTTCCTGGGCGGGGTCGCGGGTGGGCGGGGCGTGTGGGCGCTGAGGGCGGGGGGGTGTGTGGGGGGGCGCTGTGGCGGGAACGGCGGGCGGTCTCGGCGTGAGGCGGGTTTGGGGGGGGGGGGGGGGGGGTGCGGGTCGCTGCCTTGGGGAGAGCCAGCCTGGCGGCCGCGGGTTTAAATTCACCCTGGTGAGCGCTGGGGGAAAGAAAGAAAAAAAAAAAAAATTTTCAGAATCCTTTATCCGATGCGCCCCTTTCCCCCTCACGCTTCTTCGTCAGGTGCTTCGCCGATGAGGCGGTGGCTGCTCGGCGGCGGGAACCCGCGCGGAGGTAGAGCTGCACCGTTTTCCCTTCACATGCAAGTTGCAGGTGAAAAATGCCCAGGCAAAACGTGAAGGAAATTGGTCGAAAACGAGGTCGAGCCTGCCGCAATGAGCCAGAAAGGAGAAAGGACTTAACTCCGAAGTGCGTGGAGACCGCTAGCTCCTGTTCCACATGCTGAGGGAGGCCAGGGAGGAACACAAAGCAGAAGGTCCTCCACAAAAACAGGCTGGAAAATGGTCTTCAACAGCGGCCTTTGGGGTTGCTGTGAGCGGAGCAGGGTTGTTCTTGGGAAAGCCTCGTGCAAGTGGTTGGAAGATGAGCGTCGGAGCAAGAACTGGGATTGCGTAGCAGCCCCGTGAGGATGTTGTGCTGAGAAAAGGTTCTGGGGAAAAGTCCAAGTCTAGGTTGGAGATGCCAGTGTCGTTCCCAGTGCTGGCAGAGGGAGGTGTTGGGGTAGGAGCATGGGCTGGCAGCGATGAAGAGTTCTGTATTCACCATGTAGCTGTGAACTGGCGGACAGCCATGAGGTGCGAGAGGGAGAGCAGATCTTTAGCTGGGGTAGAAAAGCAGAGGTCTGCAGCACAACGGCTGTGTGCCGGCAGTGAGGGGAGGGGAGATTGCCAGGAGAGGAGCATGATTTACTGTGCCACAGGTGGCTGACGGGGCCAGGAGAAGGCGGATGGGTCTGGCAAGCATGGCAAAGCCTGTAGGGTGCCAGGGTGGAAGACTTGAAAAGAAACAACGTCTGAACTAGAGAAAAACTCCCCAGACAGCAGCAGTTGGACTCAGCGCATGCTGTTCTCAGCAGCCAGATGTCCACGTCATTGCAATCACCGGGGGTGTTAATTAACACCCGAGTGGATGCTGCTTGCAGCGAGGCTGAAGTCCAAATTGCCTTGCTGCCACCACTCTATCAGCGGGAGCCGACACTTGTCCGCAGCGGTCCTCCTCCCAGGTCAGAGCCGAGCTGAGCTCCAGGATCTCTGTGGAGATGCTCTCTAGGCTGCCGTGCTGGGGGCACAGCACCCACACTGGGCTCCAGACAAGCAGGGGGCCTTTGTTTCCGCTTTTTGGCCAGTAAATAGAAAAATTAACACAATAGCCCCTATATCTACTCGTGGAAAATACTCGTAAAAAGGAGGATTAGATAATCGCCTGCCAGAGCCTGTAGACATATTAGCATTCTTGGAAATATTTTTTGAGCAATGGGGGCTGAAAACATCATTCCTAACTTGCGTCAGAGGTAATGGCCAAGAACCCTGGATGCAGTGAGAGAGGACTCTACTTCCCCTTCTCATAATCTCTCCATTAGCCCACGGAAATACTCGCTAAAGACTTTCCTGACACCACCATTAGACCTCAGGTTGTGTTTCAAAAGCGTCACTAATAACCAAAGCTCTTGATTATTTTGAAAACCTCCAGTAACCTTTTCCCTTTGTATCTCTTTGTTTCCAAGTGTAAATTACTGGAATTATACACGCAACTTTGTGAAACTGCTTATAATGGACTGATGTAATTGGCTTGAAACAATCCATACATTAAAATTGTTAATTATGATAAGAAGGGGTTCTTGTGCTATCAGGGGGGTGAAAGTAGGGTTGAGAAAGAGAGAGCATAGAGAGATTGCTGCAGGGATGATTCTTCCCCAGGCTGTTGATAAGGCTCACACAGGCTTTTATGTTCTTGCTGCTTTTTTTTTTTTCCCTTTCTTGATAAAATCAGATGTAGAAAAAGGCTCAGTTGGACCTTTATACTCCGTGGAACATGTTGTGCAATGCCACCACTTACGCTTTTCTTAACAAATCCCACTCAAATTCAAATGCTTCCCTCTTCTATTTCATTATAGGTTAAATCTGGTGTTCTCTAGCATTCATTTTTAAATCTAATCTAAAGTCAGGCTCTGTGGGAACTCTCCCACTTGTGCTTTGGCACGAGTATTTACAGGTGTAGGGTTGTGGGGTTGTGGGGTTCACCCAGCCTTGGGTCACCTGCTGTCCCAGGGTGACCTTGTGTCTGGAGCCTGGAACTCCTCTTCCATGCCGTGTAAAATCCTCTGTTCCTGTTGTCTGCTCTAGGTGACTTCAGGTTTAATAAAACCCCCCTTTTTTGTAAAGCAGGGAGGTGATGTGAAAGGAAGGGAATGGTAAAATAAATGTTTTCGTGTGTTGCTTTGGGTGGGACAGGCAGGGGTTTCAGGTACACCTGAGCAGAACTCATCAGTTCATCTTGCCTTGAGCTGCAGATCTTGCAGCATCAAAGGGCTGCCTCTTCCTCCAGCCCCGTGCATTAACATGCTATAGCAAGGACACCTGCAGGGACTTTTTCTGGGGGGTTCTAGGGTTTCCATGTTGTATTTTCGAACACTCTCTGTGGGTGCGTGGGAGGTGTCCAACAGTGCAGGGGGACAAGCAGGGCAAGACGAGACAACTTCCTTATGAGGTTGGAAGGAAGAGAAACCAGAGGCTCCCTCTACGTGGTGGGTTCTTTCCATGATTTGCCCGACTGCTGATTTCTGCACTGTCCAGACATGTTGCAGAGCATGGCAGGTCCCCTTGGCCTGTTCCCCTAGGTTTTCTCCCCGTGGGAAGGGGAGTGCTGGGGGGAGCGGGCAGGGAAAAAGAGGTAGTTGATGCATTCATAGGTCTTGCTCTGAAATAACATCACAAGGCAGCTGGGGTGATTGCTCAAGCCAAAGAGCTGGACAGTGTTTCTGGTTGCCCTGGTTTGGTGGCAGCCAGAGGAACCCGTCCAGCCGCTCCTCCTGCTCCCTTCTGTCCCCATCCTCCTCCTGATCCATCTGTATGTCCCCTCCACAGCAGGAAACTCTTGTTTTGTGTTGGAAGAAGTGAAACTGGACCGTAACTGAATATTATACACGGTATTTCTTTATGGCTTTAAAGACTTGTTCTTAAGGGGAGTAAATGGTGGTCACGTTGTCCTCTGCAGACCAACTCTACAATTCGGCCATAGCTTTGGAAGCCCTCCGAAGCTGATAAATAAATGAAAATCTATTTTGGCAGTATTTGCAAAAACACTGAGGATTAAATATGAGATTGAAGGGGAGCAGTAGAGTCTTTAGCTTTTGATGACCTGAAATAAAGAATAATGGATCTCTGTAAGATATTTATACACAAGTTACTAGGTTACAGCCGTGGTATCTGGGTGAAGTTCTCCGATTAGATTCGATGGCCTGAAAGCTCCTTTTATCTGATGAACTCTGACAAATTTTCCATAATTTCATCCAGTTCTGCCCATCGCTGTTGGTTGGGAAACAAGTGAGGAGCACACGAAGAATAAGTGAAGACCATTGTTAGGCTGAGAGTTGGTTGCACAGCAGTGAATGTTCTCCAGACCATTTTCTTGCTCTCCTTCCCTCCTTTGCGCTCTGCTCATCATGTATTTTGGCCAAATCGTGGCACTAGTGTTGCCTTTTGGACTGGCTGAAGGCTTTGTGGTGGCAGTATTTCCAGCTCTCTGGAAGTATCTCTGGATATTGTGGTGTCTGGTAGACGGTACTTCTCTCATGTTGTTTACAGATTGCATACCAGATGTTAGAGCTGGGCTGTCAGGCTGTTTCACAATGGTTTGCTTTACGTTTACTAATTAGTGATTTTCTTTCTGTCCATCCCAGGTCACCAAGTGGAAGTTGAATCAAAGTACCCTTTGATCTCTTACTGCAACATTTCTTTCACCTCCACTATTCAAGCCTATTTTTCAAGCATCAAACTAATTCCCATTCAGAAGCTTTTACAGCTTTTACTGAAAAAAACCCCAAACTCTTGGACCTAAATCCATTGGTGTCAGCCCCTAAATCAGGATGTTGCTTCCCCAAGACAAAGATGACATCTGCCCACATCTCATTTATCTCCTTAATGAGGTAGGTTATATGTCCTACTAAAAATTTTGCTGTTTTCAGCATTAACCTTGTACCTGCCTCCCTGAAACCAGTGCTCAGGGTGCCCGAGGGCTTCTAGCCATGAGAAGTGACGCCTGGGGAAAAGAGATTTCTTCTCCAGTTTCTGTGGAGCGTCAGAATCCATCCTGTGTCTGTTTTTTGTTTTTTTGACTGGATTTATTAGCTTTTTTACCTCCTGCCCCGAAGTGCTGTCTCTGTCTGCTCTTCAAAAACTATTCCCTTCGCCCAGATTCTCGGTACTTTTTTCAGATTTCTCCATTTTTTTCCCCTTCATTCCTCTAGTCCAGTTGTCATTTTCTTGGTAGCACCACAGTGTGCACATAGGGCAGGTGGCAGCAGGAGGACACTCGGGTTAGAGAGCCCCTGTCTCACTGGCCACCAAGGGCAAGATCTCACTGTCAGGAGGAGGAGATGGCCAGAGGTTACAAACGTTTTTGCGGCGTAGGAAAGGAACGGGAAGCTAACAGCTCGGTGCTGCCAGGTGTGCTTCGGGCAGCCCAACACTGATCGCATCCTCATCAAGGGCTTGGAAGGGCTACAAAGCTGGTGTCACCTTGTCCTGTTCCTGCCATCACTACGCGAAGATCCGAGATGAAAATGCAATTCCTTCTTGGTATGACTTGTGCCCAGTGGCTGTAGCCCCGCGAGGGAGTTGCTGGTGGGTTGTGCCACAGGAGCCTCCCCTGCGTGTGCAGGGGGGCGGTGGCAGGAGATGCCTCCATGGAGCTGCTCTCCAGAGCATCTTTTGGACTGGGAGGGGTGTCAGTGCTTAGGAGTATGGGACGCATGGGGGAATAGCATTGTAGGATTGCACAAGGCTTATTTTGGAATGTCCAAGTGGAGTGCAGTGATGAGTGTTGTTCCTCAGAGGTTGGTGTTGGGCCTGGCCCTGTTGAACATCTTTGCTGGTGACACGGGCAGCGGGATCGATGCCCCCTCAGCAAGTTCCCCGACAGCACCGAGCTGTGTGGTGGGGGGCACGCTGAGGGCAGGGGTGGCACCCAGAGGGACCTGGGCAGGCTGGAGAGGGGGGCCCGGGCAAACCTCCTGGGGTTCAACAAGGCCAAGGGCAAGGTCCTGCCCGGGGGCCGGGGCAATCCCCAGCACAAACCCAGGCTGGGCCCTCGAGGAGCGGCTGGAGAGCAGCCCCGAGGAGAGGGGCTGGAGGTGCTGGGGGGGGGAAAACTGCCCGTGAGGCAGCCCCGTGCGCTGGCAGCCCAGAACCCACCCGTGCCCTGGGCTGCAGCCAGAGCAGGGGGGGCAGCAGGGCCAGGGGGGGGATTCTCCCCCTCTGCTCCGCTCTGGGGAGACCCCCCTGCAGTGCTGGGGCCAGCTCGGGGGCCCCCAACAGCAGAAGGACCCGGAGCTGCTCGAGCGGGGCCAGAGGAGGCCACGAAGATGCTGGGGGGGCTGGAGCAGCTCCCCTGGGGGGCCGGGCTGAGAGAATTGGGGGGGTTCAGCCTGGAGAAGAGAAGGCTCCGGGGAGCCCTTCGAGCGGCCTCCCAGGGCTTAAAGGGGGGACAGGAGAGAGGGGGAGGGACTCTGGGTCAGGGGGTGGGGGTAGGACAAGGGGGGATGGTTTTAAACTGACAGAGGGCAGATTTAGTTAGATTTAAGGCAGAAATTCCTCCCTGTTTGGGGGTGAGGCGCTGGCCCAGGGTGCCCAGAGCAGCTGTGGCTGCCCCCTCCCTGGAAGGGTTCAAGGCCAGGTTGGACGGGGCTGGGAGCCCCCTGGGCTGGGGGAAGGGGGCCCTGCCCGGGGCAGGGGAGGGTGGGACTGGATGGGCTTTAAGGTCCCTTCCAACCCAAACCATTCTGTGATTCTGCGTTTAGAGAAGGAAACAAAGGCAGGGATCAGGAAGGAAACAAAGGCAGGGATCAAGGAACAAGGGTGGGAAAATAAGATGGAAAGAGCTGCTTGTGTGTAAGCAGGTTGCTGGTGAGCATCCTTGGCTGTGCCCTGCGTGTGAGCAGTGCGATCTGTCCTGTGCGCTCATTAAAATCCATATCTAATTATTTCCTGGGTGAGGGATTCTCTTCTGTGCGTACAGGAGTCTGAGTGCCAGGACTGCAGTGGGGCCATGGGTTGGGGGCATGAGTGTGGGTACCAGTCAGTGTGGGATTGCTAGCAGCCTAGCCGGTGAAGATATATCTGTATTGTATATAAATCTGGATCTATGTATTTCCCACTAATGAGCCTTTATCCTGCTCAGCCAGAGTGTGCTGTGTTGTGTTTGTGTGTGTGTTTCTCCCTGTGTGGATATGCAGGATGGTGGTGGACCTCTGGGGAGAGAGGCGATGCCCCCAGCACGCGATGCTCTGAGCATCAGCCTCTTTTGGGGCGTCCCAGAAGAGGGGTGCAGAGGAGCCAGGAAGTCATTTGGAGTTGGCGTTGGAGGAAGCACAAAGGAGCATGTCTGAAAATTTGGAGATTGACTGATGCTACCTGATACCTGTGGGCAAAGCAGAGAAGGGATGTGAGTTACAGACTTTTCTAGCATCTTTTTGGCAGCAAAGGTTCAAGGACTTTGTGAACTTAAAGGAGATGTGAAGCCTGTAAGGTGAGAAAACTGTTCCTACTCACTCTTTTCAGAAAAGAGGCAGAATTTCAAGGAGGTTTTGCCTTTTTGGAGATCTTGTGTGGGTATGAGGAAGGGTGAGATCTTCGGAGCATTTGGGAAAGACTTCAAGCTCAGTGTGGCTTCTTCATTTTTGAGACCAAAGCTGCAGGTAGCAGGTACCTGAGGAAATGCTAATGAGTGACCTGATTAAAAATACCCTGGTTGAAAGCCAGACCTGCTTCACTGGAAAGAGAAGCGTCATTCTGGCTGGCTGTTGGTGGAAACATGAAAACCATTTGGCCAAACACCTCTCTGTGTGGATCCAGTTACACGGCCAGCAACCAAACTGGTTTCCTACCAAGTGTAGACTGGGATTATGCCTGGGAGGCAGATGGTTTCTTGTAGCAAAGAACAAGCTGAAATAGCTTCATATTCTTCAGCCTGCAGATTTCCTTCTGCAAAGCTGCAGCACCAAAACTGTATTAAAAAGAGCCAAGCAAGAGAAGAAATAAAAAGGGAAGAAATTGTGTAACATTGGAGCCTGCAATTGATTTCAGTGGAAAAACAGGGATAAAATGTTTATATTGTGTAAGTCAGCTGGCACCATTTCATCTCCTCATCTCATTTGGACCTGTTGAAAAACTGTGCCTGGTTTTTGTGTGTGCATGTGGCTCTGCAGAAGGTTGTTTTTTTTTTTATAAACAGCAGGCCTTTAATTTTTTTGCCTGAAGATCTATTTATATACAAATTAATATCCGCTGATGAAGTGTATGGATTATTAAGGTTGATTATTCATCGTAGGTGTGATTTCTGTCACCCAGGAATGCTTCCTTTCCTATATTGGACAGCTAAAGGTTTTATAGGGTTTGTTAAGGCATAGTAAGCAATAGGCGTGTTTGAATGCTTGCAAATGCAGGTATTTCCATGAAGGAAAAAAAAAGGGCTGTTCCAGATAAATGTGCAAACACACACGCATCCCTGCAAGTGCTTATAAAAAGGTGAATAAAAGAGGCGATTTGTAAGTGAACTGGTTGCCCAGAAAGGAAAGCAGCAGCACCACGGTGACCATGGGAGGCTGCTCCAGTGCGGGGTGATGGCTGCCTGCACCCCTGATGTGTGGGCTGGCAGTGGCTATGGGCAACAGCAGGTCTCTGCAAGTACAGTGGGATACCATGCCTCTCTCTCCTTTTCTCACCCTTGGCATGATAGGAAAAGAAGCAGGTTTTTTGTCGCTGGGACACTGTGGGGTGCACAGGCTGGGCATGTGTCTGCTTGATTTTTAAGTGAAAGAACCACCGTCATATCCCTTAACGTAGCCTGCCTGGGCACGGGGGGTCAGGAGGACAGGCAGATATCTTTTTCCATGACGTTTCAGTCAACCTCCAGAGCAATTCTGGCTTAAAAATGGTGGGGGGAGGAGGACGGGGAGAGAAAGGGGCCTGTTAAAAAAACCCCAGGTTTTGATTTTTCAGCTAAAACTCACCAGGTTTTGTTGAAGCCACTTTTCTGAGACTCTTCCTTTCAGGCTATGCTGAACTAAACCCCGTTTTGGTAAAATTACGGCTCAGATGGAGTTTTAGCTCAGCCCCGTGCACTTGTACAGTGCTGAGCCTATTTTAAGCCCTTGATTAACAATGCTGCCCCAACCTTCTGTGTAGCCAGAACAGACTAATATATCCCACCAGTAAGAATGTTTTTCAGGTAGTCTAATTTATCCTCAGCCTTGTTTTAGTCTACCGTGTAAATGATGGAGAAAATATCCTGATACAGAGTATAAGGATGACTGTATATTTAAGCACACACCACTGATGAAGACACCAGTTTCGGAGACTTCTTGGGGCCCTGAGGCAACATCGGTGCTGAATCAGGAAGATAAAATGTTTTTGTCTGCCTTCAGGCAGCTGAGCATCTGAGCATGGCTTCCTGCAGAGAGGGTGACCTTAGGCAATTTTCTTCACCATCCAAATGACTGGGGGCAGTGATGTTCTCTTGACATCACCTGGCATGGAAACAGCTGTTATCTAATATATTTAATAGAATTCTGAGGTCAAAAGAGGCCGTTACGATCATCTGGCTTGACAGTTACTACAATCAATTGTTGTATTTTGGGCTCCATCCATCAGCCTGTGAGGGTCAGGGAGGACTTTTCCCCCCCAGTGCACAATCAGTGGGTATTTTCTGCGTTTGGTTTATGAGTTTGTTTTCCTGATTTTTTTTCTGGAGACAGCTGAGGCTGGTTGTGTCTGGAGATGAGGCCTGGCAGTCCACTGTGGTTGTGTACTGAAAGGAGTTGGTTCTCCCAGGCTGGTGATGTCTTCTTGAGATGCTAATGTGCTGGCAAAGCAGAGAAGCTTTTGGGTATCGTTTCTGACCCTCCAGTTGCTATATTGAGCTGTGACGTGGATCAATCCCATATAGGATACCGGATCAGAACAAAAGTTTTTCCCAGATCAGATCAGAAGGGACTTTTTGCTGCCTTCTGCAAGATGTGGCACAGAGGGCTGGATCCAGCCCCCCAGGCATAGCTCATGCAGCAACGTCCTTGTGCCAGTGCAGTGCTTAGACACTGCTGGCCCCTCAGCCCATCTTCTTTGCCCATAGCACCCAAAGTCTCAGTTTTATGGAAAATAAAACCAACTCAGCCTTACAAGAATCAGTCACTGCAATGTAATCAGGGAGGAACTGGGTGCATTATGGGGAATGGGATATGAGGTTGCTTGATCTAATTGGCTTCATTAACCTGAAGGCTGAGAAATGACTGATACTGGCTGTACTATCTGACCTTTTGATTTATTCTTGGGCATTATGGAAACATAATTCTCATCATTAGAGTAAAACAGAGTCGTGGGAACTGCCAGCAGTGACCTGGGAAGGCAAGGCAAGCTCTGTACCACCCAGCTTGCCGGGGAGTGGGAGTTTGCCGTGTGTACTGCTAATATAAATAACTGGATCTGCCCAGAATCAACAGTTTTGTCAGCTGTGTACCAGGGCTGTGCCAGCTACAGACTCTACATATGTAATTTTTATTATAATCCTTTCTCTTACACCAGTCCCATAACAATCTGGTTGCATAAGGAGGGAGTGTTAATGGGGTTATAAAAGGGAAATATTTCTTCAAATCCATTGCCAGTGGAAGGCTTTGTGGAGGATGAACCGCCCCGCTCCCTTCCTAAAGCCAAGGATTTATCCCTGCATGTTAAAAAAAAAAAAAACCCAGTGAGCTCCTTCATTCCAGGTGAGTGAAAAAGCATTTCTGGAGACCCAGCCAGGAGCCTGGGCTCGTGCCTGTTTTGTGGCAGCGAAATAATGCATTGTGCTTGACACTACAGCTGCTGTTTTACACCTCACTGAGTTTAATCTTATGAATAAACAGTATACTAATTGTTTCAGCTTTCAGGGCAGTGGGGTTTGCAAGGCAGCCTAGTCATGCCAGGAATTTAAGTTTATGTAATTCGTTTTTTTGCTATGGATTTCAGGCATGGCGTCTGGCCAGCTGCGACGCAAAATGCCGTGCGTCGGAGATGCCCCACGCTGGGTGAGAACCTGCTTGGTCCTTACACGATCGGATCATTCTCCACGGGCTGTGGATCCCATCACACCGTGATGCCAAGGGACCGGCTCTGCCGGATGCCACCCCGCTGCGGTGCTCCCGCTGGGAAGAGAGCGTGAGGAGAAGCCAAAGCAACTCCGCTAACGTTGGAGGCAATGCTTTCCAAGCAAATAAAAGCCAGGTAAGCTGTGCCGGTGATAAGGGTGTGTGGCAGGGGAGAAGCACCCTGTGGTTGAACATACACATCATGTTAATTTTTCTTCCCCCATGTGGTGCAGAAGCTGCCACGATGCTTCGTGGACCTGGTGTGGATAAAGCTAGGGCCAAGGAGAGGTTGAGTATCAATATGACAAAAGGAAATTTGGGAGTGGTTTTAATGGTAACTTGTATGGATACACTCCGAACCTGTCTGTTATTTTCCCTGCCTGATTGCTTTCGGTGTGGTTTTAGTCCACTCTGGGTGGGGGACCACCCGCTGCCCGCCGGCCTGAGCGGGAATGGGAGCACTGTCTGCCAAACCGCCAGCTGCCTCCCCTGCACCTCAATCTCTCTTCCTGCAGAACAAACCCAAACACTCTGTCTCCGTCAGTTTGTGTTTCAGCTCCCCCTCCCATCTGCTCGTCTCCTCTCCTCCCCTGCTTCCCTGAACATCCCTCTGTGCCATATGGTCCCTCTCTCCCACATGGCCTCGGCAGCACTGTCTGGTCCTCCTCCCCTCTGGGCACCCTCAACCTCACCAAGCCCCAGGATTTTTCTTGCAAAGCTTGTGAAACTTGACGTTTTTAGTGATGTCGCAGCTCCTGTGATGATGGCTGGATTGCAGCTGTTTTCTTTTATCTTCAGAAAACAAGTTTCCAAACCCAGGGCTTGCATTTATGATATTTAGTGTCTTGGGAGTTTTTAAGCTGATCAGGTGGGATTTCTCCTTGGTCTCTGAAACCCACTAAGCTCTCTGGCTGTCTTTTTCCTCTCCGTTTCGGGGATATTCTGCCTTTGCCTCATTGCTTTCAACTTTCTGGTGACTGGTCAGATCTGCTCTCCAGTCTGGGGTGGATCTTCCTATTTTATCTCCTCTTGTTGTTTAGCAGTGACCCTGAATAATCTAACCTTTCTCTGCCAGCTAGGTAGGCGTTCAGCTTCTTCTGCAATGAAGAGGGAAATTTTTATAAGCAGCTGGAGTAAGCAGGAGAAGGTAATGCAGCCACTCATCCCTGTCAGCCTGGTCTGTGCCTGCTGGACCAGTCACCAGTGATGTGACGTTGCTGAAGCCTTTCTTTTGCTGAATATGTTTTGTTGATTTATTTTGGGATATTTCCTATCATCCTAGGACCAGCTTTGGTGCTGGTTAGAAAACCGCAGGTTGTGCCCATGGGAGCTACAGTGATGACAGAAGGAGAAGGACAAAGGGGTGATGGGTTGTCCTGCCTGCTAGGGAGTGCACTCATGGCCAGATATTCAGGCTGAGAGGGATCCAGACAAACCCTTCATGCCAAGGAAGTCAGGATTTTTGGCTTATCCTGCTAATACAAGAGTGTATCTGCACAGGTGTCAGGGAGTTACGCTTTTTGAAGGCATTTGATCTGCTCTTGGATGGCTGATTCAAAGGGAAGCCATCACACGCTGCTGCATCCCTGCAGGATAGTTGCCATCCCAAATCCACCATCTGCCTGCTTAGTTTGTGGATGTGGCGTCTTGTTTTTACAGTTACAGATGGCTTGAAAAGTTAAATCAACTTGACACAACCATGGCACAGAATTTTTCCTTCCCTCCCACTCACGTGTGTCCGTGCAGCCCATTACAATCCATCAGCCATTTTGGTGGTGACGGATGGTTATCACCAGCCAGCACAGGATGCTGGTGTCAAGCATCCTGTAGCCATATAGAAAGCCATGGTACTGTAGTAAGCTTCAACATCTTTATCTTCCAAGCAACATCTGGAAAAACATCTGCTTGCTTATCTTCATTAGTACAAGTCCTAGATTTGGAGGTTTGGTTTTGTTTTGTTTTGTTTTGTTTTTTCCCCAAATCTGTCTGGCCTGGAGCTGTGCTGGAGAGCAGACACAATCCATTGCCTGTTCATCCGGCAGCCAGCGGAAAACATCAGTAATTTAGGTCTTATCCCACCCTTGCCATGCTCCATGTCAAACTCAAAGGGAGGCTGAATGGCTTCCAAAAGAAAAAAGACCCCGAAACCCTTTTAAGAGCAAATATTACTCAACTGCTTTTACTTCTTATTCTATATTACTATATTATTTCTTATTATTTCTATATTATTCTGTATTATTTCTTACTCTGTATTACTGGGTTTTTTTTTCAACTCCATATGTAACTGTTTCAACCATGCTAGTTAAACTCTGACCTTGTATGCGGATGGAAATGTCTTCTTGGCTCATTTTAATTAGTGTGCTGTCACTGCTAGGCAGAGAAGAGTCCTCGCCTCCAAAAAATCATTCTCAGGCTTAGCTTTTGATTTCCAAGTGATGGTTCAGGGAGATTTGAATTGTTGGTATCTGGTCCAATAGAAGCTGCATGTGCACACATACTGCATCTTGGCTTCCGCATAGGCAATAAGGAACAGAAACCTAAAATGAAGGAATTCAGTCTGACAATATGTGGATTTGTGCCTATTTGTGAGTGTAAATACATTTACCTGCTAACGTGTGGGGAGGTGAAGAGGTTAATTAGAGCACAGCTAATCAAGCGCTCCACTGAAGCAGGCTGCTAGGGGTTGATTGCACTGATACTTAATTGGCACCTTTGAAATAGGGTTTCCAGTCTGCCCGTAGAAACAGGATAAAAATGAACTTAAATGAGCTATTTAAGGGAGTATATGTGCAAGGGAGTGAAGTGGCTGTGCAGTCTGTGATAAACAGATGCTAATACCCGAATGAAATCCAGTCAGGGATTTGTTATATGTATTATTTCTGTTTCTCCTCCTGAAAGTCCATCTTGACCACTGCCCGCATCTTCAGCACCTGGAGCAGTGGTGGCCTGGCCTGCTGGCATGGCAGAGGCTGGTGGCATTGGGTCTCTTGTCCCATCAGACACCAGCCTACCACCGTGATGCCCGAGGTGGCAGAGGGAGGACTCTGCCACCCATCCTGTGGCATCTGCGTGAGGAGAGTCACCTCTTTGTGTCCCTGGCATTCATACTGTTTCCACCTGCTGTCCTTCTACATCATGTTTCATCCTGGTACGGATAAGTGGAAACACAGATATAAGTTTAATGGGATCCCACTGTAAATTGAGGAAACTGCATATACAGGACACACAAATCAACCCATTTTTCAACAGACAATTAAAGTTTACCACCTCCATCCAGGATGCCATGAAGAAAATACTGCCTTGCCTAGGCTGATTGGAAATAAATGAATTGTTTCAAGCCAAGTACTGTTCATTAGTACATTTAGGAGACGCATGCTGAATGGCTCGTTCCTGCTAAGGAAAACTTATGCTGTGGTGCTGGGGTGAGTGAGGATGTTCATGTCTGCACGCAGGATTTTCAGCTCAATCCTGAGAATTATGCTCTAATGTCATTATATACTTTTGAGATGTTTCTGGTATTTGCATAATTGCTCAGTTTTTCCTAAGTTGCAGTTAAGAATGATTTTGCCATTAGCACAAAAATCCCAAGAACTGGCTAAAATTCCTCCCTCTGTGCTGTTGCATGAGGCGTCGTGATGTCCCAGCTGACCTGGCACTTGTTCGCTTGTTATTTGGGTTGAGAGCTTGAAATTCCCCGAGATACACTTACACTAGCTGTGAGAGGAGTCAAGCACATCTCCAGCTGAAGAAATTCAAAGAATTTCTGAGCCAAACCTCGCTTGCACAGTGCTGGAAGAAGGAGCACTTCTAAACAGCCTCATTTAAGAAAGCACTTACCCAAATCTGTATTTATTTTTTCTTGTTAGAATAGACAATTTATTCTTTAATATTTATGAAGATGCATAAATTTATGCTGCCTTATGAATATGCAAACTAGTAACATCATCCTGCATGTAAAAGCAGCAATTTGTGATGCTGACTTTATACAAATAATTTTGTTTTTAACGAAGACATAGGTCCAGTGTTGCTGTCTACCTATTTTGCGTTGCTCAGTGGGGATGTCAGAGCCTGGGGGACAGGAAACCTCATCTGAAGTCCTTATTTAAAAACAGGAGAAAGAGGATTGGAACATTTGCTGTACGTGGGAGATGCTGGTTCCCGCGGGAGAGCTCCCTCGGGGCGGCGACCACTCCAATTTCTGTGATCTGAGATGGCCTGTTCATTGCTCACATCCCCTCCCAACTCTGTTTCCAGGAGCTGGCTGTGCTCAGTGTACGCTGGGCTTGGAAAACATGGCAGTAATGTGAAATTATTTTGGGAAATCAAGTGGCAACTAGCATGAACAGATGTCCCTGGGAAAGAACCACCAGGGAGATGGGGCTGGACTGACTGTCTTCTCCAGCAAGCACGTAGGGCTAAATAATTAACCCACATTGCCTAAACCATTGTTATGGCTTTGACAGCTTTTTGGGATAGCTGGGTAGCTGCTTAGCTCCTCGTAGGGGCTGATGCCAGGTCTGCTGGGAGAGGCATAGAGATTCCCCTCGACTTCAGTGGGACCTGCAGATCCCTGGGAGGTTTGGTGCATAACCCGCTGAAGTGATTGGACTTGTTCCCTTGAACCCCATGGTGTTTGGGTCAGATATCTCATTTGCAGAAGATAGTCATGAGAAAAAATAAGTTTTGAGATAGGGATCATGCATTTGGGCACTGTCCTCTCTCATCCAGCAAAGCTTCCACCTGAGCAGTGGCCAACATTGCAGAGGTGGAAAAGCCTTTAGCAAGGCACACATTAATCACAGAATAATTTAGGTTAGGAAAGACCATTAGGACCCTTACGGACATCAGTGTTTCAGTAAACTGTGAAATTTAATAACCAACACCAAACATTTGTTACTAAGTGCCTTCCAGTCCTCAGTGGGAGATACTTATTTTCGTTAATGCTGTGGGCAGCCTGTTCATAAATACCTTGGCCAATGCTAATATAATTTCTTCAGTTGTTGAATTTCCCAGAGCAAAGGATGAGCACAGAAAAAAATATATATGTAAATACATCTCCCATGTATGGGAGAATTCAGCTGTGCACGGTGACTGTTTTTGGGTAGCGGATATAACGGTGAGAAGGAGGAGCAGGCTGGGTGCTGTCATCTTAGAAGCAGTTGTTTGAAGAGTGAGAAACAATTCTCCAGTTCCAGAAAAGAGTAGTAGCGTTTTCCCTTGCTCCTCTCTGTCTGGTGATGGGGGATGGTGTGCAGAGCATGGTCTTCTCTACACTGCACCCCGAGGATGGAGCTGCTGGCGAGGTGCTCTGTATGCTCCCCACGTGCTTTATGTGCTAACATGATACTTTTATCTTTGACTTCAACTTTTTTTCTGGTACATCTTTTCCATCTTTGGCTTCTTGACTGCACACTGTGGTGCCAGAATGGGCAGGAAGATAAAAGTAACCCTGGTACTGTACTGCTCCCTACCAGGTGAAGCCAGGCTGCAGATATAGCAGTATAAATCTTACTTATGTTACTTATTAGGCTTTTAGTTATTTGGAGTCCTTTGACAGCAGACAATAAAGATGGTCCCAAACAGAGACAGCTGGTATAAAAGTGTGGTTGACAAGCCTAAATAAATAAAATTAATTGAAATAGAAAGACCTTCTGCTTCTTTATGGTGACAACTGAAGCACTTCACTAAAAATGAATTGACTGCAAAGAAGCAGAAAAGAATTAAGAGGTGTTGTAATAAGCTGGGGAGGTTGCTTTCTCTTGGAAACTTTTTTTTTTTTTTTTTTAAATGGGAAAGAGTGTTTTCAGTCAGATTTTTTCACTGGATGCATTGATTTTATGTAAAAGATTTTTTTTTTTTCTGGAAAATATCAATGCCTCATGTCCTAAAAAGTGGGGTTTGGGGCTGTAATCTGGAATGTGGGAAGCTGTAGTTTGGAGGCTCAGCTCTGTTCCTCTACCTTATCTTGCAGTCATGCTTCTTTTACTGGCATGATGAAATAGCTGTGCCTTCTACCTCTTTATCTGAGATATGAAAAGTAGGAGCAACAAACCAGGCTTTCTCTCCTCAGACAATTGCCTCTGCGTATCCTTGCTCTACGTACAGGAAAAAAAGATACACCATAACAGCTGCAGATAACTGCGTGAATAAAGGATGAATTTAAAATAAAACATAAATATCCTAAAAAAAATGTGTACATATTCTATTCCTGACCTCTCTGCTGAATGTAGCCTCAACCTGATTTTATTTGCTTTGGTCAGGGGTAAGTCAAAGTCTCCTTATTTGAGCACAGTATTTTTAGATCCAAAATACAGAATACCCATTGTGGGTAGTGGCCTTGCCCTCAATTTATTTTATTTTCTGTCTCCGTTGTTCCGCTGCACTGTAATCTTCTTGTGGCCTGTGTTCATGGTGTGCTTATATTTACCATGCAACATACAAATTGGTATCTTGTAAAATACCCGACGTCTTTCCACTGCCCACTGCAGGAGGCACTTGGTTGACTCTGGAAAATAGTGATGCAATTAAAAGCCAATCTTACTTATTTCACAACTAAATGGAAGCACCTCCCATATGAATTTTGCTTTAAGAAGTAGGCAAGGACACTCTTCTGAGTGAAGCAGCATGCTGGATGAAAAATGAGAGTAAATTTGCTCTCTCCTCTTAATTTTGCTAGTTGGCTTCTTCAAAGGGAGTGTGATGGTGGCCAGGGAGAGCCAAGAGGGTGGTAGTCCTGTCCCCAGGACCATGCCTGTGGGTTTCCACCTACCCTCAAGATGTTGGCCACGGCACGAGCAAACCCACATCATCCCCTTCTGCAAGGACAACCCATCTTCTTCATCGCTGCAGCATGGCCATCTCTGTACAAAGTAATTAAATGGTTTGAGTTCTGACAAGAGGATGACAGTCCCATCCTGGAGTGAAGCTTCATGTCACAACACGTCCTTGCATGCTATCCAGCAGCCGGCTTTCCCTGTGGACATCAGGCTCATCTGCAAAGCCTACAAAGAAACTGCTGTAGGCTCCAGTCCTCATGAAATTACAACCTGGGTGTGCAGGGAGAGATCAAAGGGGCTCTGGTCAGCCCATCAGCATGGCCCTCAGGGCACGCTCACAGCACCAAACCAGAGGCAAAGAAGGCAGAGACTGGATTTAGCAACAGTTTAAGTAGTGTCAGGTCCACCCTGGCCGGTCTGCGCTGGGTTGGCGTTCCAGTCTGTGCAGTGATGGCTAGTGCCAGGATGCCGCGTGGGCCTGAGCCGGGAGCCAGGACCCCCCCTGCCTCCCACATCCCTGATTTAGGAAGGGATCGTGTTTCGAAAGCAACTTGATGAGATTTAGCCAGCTTTTCCTGGAGTGATTAATTGCATGCACATGTTTTCTCATTGCACATAACCAGTTTGTTTTTATGAAGTGTAAATACATTTACCTCCTACCTTGCATCCCTGGGAGGCATCTCTATGAGTATGCACATCTAATGGTGGCAGCCTTCCTCCTGCCATTCCCAAGAGAAATAGCCATTCCCACTGCAGTACAGAAATGTCAGTATACATATGCTCCCTCCAAGATTTTAAGTGATCCTGTTTCTGAACTTTCCCAGGAAAAAGGGAGTCAAGAAGCAAGTCCCCAGTCCAGGCCCAGCTGCGCACCCTTCTGCACCCCTTCCCAATAGTGCTGATGCTCCAGCTCCTCTGCTGGATAACATGACGTCGGATCCAGGCATCTTGGTGTTTCTGAGACTTCTCCTTGTCGTAGTGTGGATGGACACCTTGGGCAGGGTCCAGCTACAGCGTGTATCAGGCCAAGATCCTTATCCTGGGTAAAATCCCAGGAGATAAGTGCCAGGATTGCTTGGGAAAGCACAGCTGGGACTTCCTCCGGAGCAGCATGTTGCGGGGCTGAGCCCGTGTTTCTCTGGTGGTGCTGGGGGAAGGTCATGCTGCAGAGTACTGGAGGTTTTATTCCTGCTGCCTACATGTTCCTTAGGCTGTCGTGCTCTCTGGGAGGCATGATGGAGGGGGGCTCCACAGCCCTGGGGCATTAGGAGCTTTTTTTGAGTAGATCAGCTCATTTAGAAGCTAATAACCTGTAGGACACTTTTGAGGAGCAGCAGTTTTTCTCCTGGTTCTGACCCTGGGAAGTGAAGGACATTGGGAGCGAGGTCCCGTTGAGCATGACAGAGGTGGTGTCTTGTGGTGGGAAGGGGTCCTTGGGTGCCATCAAAATCTTCCCCTGGAAAGCTGTGAGGGCCACCAATCAGCTTGCACCGTGTCCTGAGCTGCTGCTGCATCTCTGATGTCAGTGGTGCCTCTGCACAGCTGGCTGCAAGGTGGTACCTCCTGGATGAGATATCTGCAGAGGGACAAGCCCCAGATCTGACATTTGACAGAAGGTGATCACTGTTTTCTCCCTTACTGTGCTGGAAGCTTGGGTGCTGGAGCTGATTGCTCAGGGGCTGCACGAGACAGGCTGCTGGGAGCTTGTGGGCTCGAGAGATGAGGTGTCAGGCTTTACAGGATGATCTCCAGCCCCCAAAATAAGTCAGATTTTTTTTTTTTTTTTTTTTTTTTTTTTTTAAATCTGCCCACTTGTTAGATAAAATTCTGTAAGAAACCTGCCAGGCTTTCTGGCAGAATTTCAATAAACCCACTATGGTCCTATGTTGTGCTTTAACTACAGATACTTTGGCAAGTGGAAATTAAATGTTTTCAAACTTTCCTCCTGGGCTCTAAGCTGGTGACTCACCACAGTGTTCTCAGCCAGGACGAGGTTCGACCAGAAAACCTCCCTATGCCGCTGCATGGGAGTGATGGCTAAACGAACTATTTTATCAGCCTAAAACCACTGTAAGAGAGGACTTTGCTTAGGAACAGAAGAGAATATAGCTGCCTTTCTCAAAACCCCCGCTTTGACTAACAATATGCCAATTTTCCAGGAAAAGGTGAAGAAGAAAAATATGACTTTGATTATTAGCATTTATAAACAGACATGCATATTTATCCACAGCACTTTGCAAGCATTTATTTATGATTCGTTTCTTTCAACAGGATCAAGCCTCTTGCATTTCAGGGAATTTTTCGCTTCCAGACCTCAGCATCAGGACAGGTCGTGACAGTGACATCCTTTGTTGCAGGGATCATAAGTCAGATGGCTGCAGGGTGCACCTGAGGTGAGTCTTGTAGATTACGTGACCTAAAAGTGGGATTTTATGTTGGCTGATTACCTAGTGAAAAAAGGTCTATTATGGTGTGGGGCTAGTATGTGACAGCCTGCAGAGAATGATGATTTCTGCCCATAACTGTGTTTGGGGAAAGGCAATCGTACAGTGTTGATGAACATCTTTGAAAGCAGATAAATGTACTTCTAATTTGTTAGCATAATTACCACATCTTTGCATAGCACTCAGCCGGTAATTCCTTTTTCAACAGATTATAAGTCTTAAATAATTCTTCTGGAAGATTAATTCTTACCCCTTGTATTTGGACACCTCTCTGAAGTGTATTTGCAGAACTCAGTTGGGTGTCATTAACGTCCCCGCATGATTACTGTGGTTGCGTTGTGATCTATAAACGTCCCTCTGGAGAGGCCTCTGTGGATCCGAGTATGAAACATCAGTCTTCCTTTTGTAATTACATCCTCAGGACAGGAGCGAGGCCTCATCCTCCCAAAACAACCTGCTACCAATTAGCAGGCTTTAAGTTTTGGGTAGACACACTGTCATCTGTCCGCTTGAAAACAGAGACCATCTCTTTACCCCTTCCAAATTATGGCTGTAAAAAAGAGGTATGGTGTAGAAGACTGTAAATATGATCTCTGCAGGGAGGGCCTTCACCTCTGATGCAGCTTTTAACTCGCCTGCAAATAGTTGTGTGTAGCAACCGTTCAGTCTGTGAAGTTCAGTATGCATTTTGGATCAAGAAACTTCCCTGAAATTTCTAGGCCTGTTTTTCTTCTTTTTTCTTTTTCTTGTTCTCACTACCAAAGTTAATATCAAAGCATTACCTGCTTTGGCTTCTCTTACATCAACAGGAGAAACAACAAAGTCCCATTTCGGTGGCAGAACAAGCCCAAGTGTGGTCTGGGCTTTCCCAAAACAGAGTCTTAGAAATCTGGGTTTGAACACCAGCCTTGTGGGGGGATTGGATCTGCCCCTTTAGTGCTGGGAAACACTTTAAAGCCAGTCTTGGATCATTTACATAGGCCAAGATGGTCATCAGAAGAAGGTGCGCAACCTCCCATGAGCAGGGAGACCCCCGGAGAGAGGGGACAAGCTCTCTGCTGAGCCACGCAGCTCAGTTTGCTTTCAAAAAGTGTTTTTAAATTAATTTTCACAGGCATTTTCTTAGCTAGATGAATGTATATAAATAAAATGCAAGTGTGAGACTGCAAAGGCATGTGTCATCATTACCCTTCCCCCTGATTTTCACAGTACTTCTGCTCCCTTCCCCAGTTTTACCTCCTAGCTGAAGACCTATGGGACAGCCTCTCTTCCCAGACAGCATTCAGATCAGCTGAGGAGGCTGATCACTTATTTCTCTAGGTGATAATTGCTGACTTTAATCTCACCAATCTGGCGGTTCCCTGTTTTTTCATCCCTTCCAAGACCTCAGAGTACCAGGTTTCTTTTCCTCAGCCCTTGGCTGCTGTTGGATATTTGTCCTGGAGCTGCTCTGGCTTGCAGCAGGTAACTTGTTTGTCTGATCCCAGCTGTCTACACTGGGATGAGAAAACCCAAAACCTCATTCCCTAGAAGTACTTGTTCCTTTCTCACCAACAATGGAGCAAGTTGGGGTGCCCAGTTTGGGTGTAGACGCCAGTACGGTAGGCGAGGATGTCCTGACTGCTCCCACTGCTGTTGCAGTAGGGTTGTCAAGCTGAGAAGATGCCTTACTCTGTGCTGGAGCTGAATTAATAAATCCAACATTTTTTCAAAGCAAGGTTTCATTAGTCAGATCTGTTGCATTGTTTCTGGAGCTGCATTTGCTAGTGGCACTCAGCTGCTGGACTTGACTTTGGGGCTGGTGCTGGGGTGGTACTGGAGATGATGGTGCAGATGGCCCTACCAGACCATCATCTCAATTTATTTAATAACATAAAAGCAGATTGGGAGGGTGCTCAAGGATCTCCAGGGGAAAGGATGATTAGTGATGCTTCAAGTGGAAATGAGTGATGCTGGCAGGGAAGGGGCTGCCCCTCTCCTCACTCCTGCTGACCCTGTGCCGGGGCTCATTTCAGCCATGAAGCATCACTGATCTCCCAAAAATTAATTGTGAAGGGTTTTTCTAGATAAATTCCTTCCTGCATCCCTGGCTATCGAGCTGCTTGTTATTTGAGGAAACTGGAGGCAGGACTGTGTGCTATTTTGTGATTCCTCAGTAGATGAAGCCTTTGTGTAGGATTTGATTGTTTCGAGCTCTAACTGCAGCGTCAGCAAGAGAGGTTTTTATTTTTAACAGTGTTACTGATTGCAGCCTTCCCTTCGAGGGCGAGCTGGCTCCATGTGGCTGTTCCTCTGTCACACTCAGTAGCTACTTAGCTGTGTTAAAAATGGCTTTTTGTTCTTTGCTGCTCTCCTTATGGTTCAGAGGCTGCCCTGGTGCCACACTGGCATACCTGGGATAAGAAGAAACCTGTGAGTCCTATGCAAACCGTGCACAGCCGTGCATGACCATCATCACAGCCTTCACTCACAGGGTACGTCCCTCCATGGTGATCCTGGCACCTACTCGATGCTGTAGAGGCTTTGGTTTATGTCTCAGATCTGTTGCTGGGTCGGTGCTTGCAATCGAGCCAGCTCCCCTACATCTCTGTCTCTTTCCTTTTTCTTCCCCATCTTCAAAGGAGGTGTGGGGAAGGGGAGTTTGCCTCCCTGTATTAGTTACCCCAGCTTAGGCAGGTTTAGCCTGCGTGGGTGGGACAACAGCGCTGACAATTGGCCTTGGCACCCACTAAGGAGGTTTTCCCAGGTGTTGTCCCCACACAGGGTTGGCATTGTGAACCCCAGCCTCTGTCAGCCATGCTTGCTGCCAGACACCCCTCCCGAAAATAACGATGTGTGACTATGGTCCCTCTCATCCGGACGGTGCTGGGGGAGCATTTCCCTGCACCCTCATGGCCTGGGGACGCTGTGGTTGTCACCCCAGTGCGTAGGGTGCCATGGGGAGGCGAGCGCATGTGGATTTACAGTTGGATTTTTGAGTGAAGCTGTGGAGATTCTTAAGCCAGTTCTCCAGCAGCAGCATCCTCTGCTTTGTGTGGTTTAAACAGTCTTGGTGCCAGTCTGTGGGAAGTGTCCTGGGAGGATGGCAAATGTCAGCGATTTCACAACTAGTTTCATCAATGTTTTGCTTTTATTTATTTTTTTTTTTTCCTTCTGAAACTTGGAGGTTTGCAAAGAAAATATTTTCTGGCCTTTGAAGTATTTGGGATTTGATGTTTGTGGGCACGGGGTTGGTGGTTGCACTGTCATCTGGCAGCATCCGTGTTGCAAGGCATGCTCATGGGGCAACTAGAGCCTGTTGAAGCTCTTGCTTTATCCTCAGCTGATGCTTAAAAAGAAGGAGAAAAGAGAATTTTCACCAGACCAGATGCTCTAAAATTGATGTGTCATGTTTGGATGTGCCTGGCTGGGGGACTCCGGGTCCCTGCTTGATGTTCTTTTCAGAACTTCCCTTTGCATGGGGGGACACGTAATAGGGCCTTGTGGTCCTACAGGAGCTGCTCTGTTCTTACCCCACGAGCCTGATTTCCAACCAGATAAAGAACCCCAGTACAATGCCTCCGCAATATTAATTATTCTTTTCTCCACTTCCCAATAATAGGGAGATTTTTGTATGAAATGCTTCTTTCCTTTCCAATTTTCATTAAGAGGTTGTTTCCAATGCTAATACCAAAATTCTCATTGAGTGCTAAAATGAGAAAGATAAATCATTGGGATGGAGAGGAGAGCCGCTCTCTGGCAGTTTTCTTGCTGTCCCCTCACCACCTTCAGCAAATTTTTTCATTTCTTCACCATATTAATCCTACTAAATCTCTTCCTGTTAACAGCCGGCACAGTAATTCAAGCATGTACTAACTGCTGGTAACAAATGTTAAAGCTCACATCTGAGACAGAAAATATTAATTTTTCTAGTTGTAGGCAAAGAGAAATGGACTGAAGGAACAAAGAGAGAAAGGTTGCCTGGTTGGTGGCTGAGCTTTGGGAAGTGGGTGGGATGCTCACAGAGCATATGTGTGTACATTATATGTTTTATATTATTACTATATATATATATATATTCGTTTTTTTTCATTTAATTATAAAAGTGGAGGGATGGATTCAACTTCAAAATAAACAATTAAAGCTGTTACACCTTCCAAGGTACTTTTCTTTTTAATTTAAAGCCCATGAAATGGGTCATCTTGACACTAGTGGTAGGACCATCTAACCAAATGAGAGAAACAAGGACTTCTAGGTGCAATTTATCTCATCCCGCAAAAGCCATTTAAGTAGATTCAGTGAAGCACTCCCTAAAAGCACCCGTTTCTCTTTGCTGACTAAAAGAATTGGGAAGTGATTAGCTCTGATGGAGACATCTATGCTGCAGATACCATGAGACAAGGGAGCTGAATCCTGCTTTCCCCTGGGTCCCTGCTGACCTTTTGGCTCAGCAACTTGCCTGAGCTCCAAGTAAGCAAACCACTGGGAAGCGATAGTTCATTTGTGATAGCTGATTTATTTCTAAGGTCTCTACTCCACTGGCAAGCATCAACACGATGTTGGAGGCTGCTGTGGTTGAGTGTGCGTCTGGCTTTTGTCTCCTGCAACTGTAATAAGGCATTTAATAATGTGTCAGACAGCAGTTTGGCGAGGTAAAATAGGGCAGTGCGGTTCAGAAGAAAGTCTTTTAAGGTGGGGAATGGCTGGGTAGGAAATCGGCGTTGGACAATAGTCATCAGTGGCTCCCCATTGAAATGGAAACAGCTTTGCGTGTGTTTGGAGGTTACCCAGGGCTGTCCTGGGGTGGGCGCTCATCTATGGCTTTTGGAGGTGATATTGGTGGTGCAGTAACGTGCTTATCAAATTTGCAGGTCATCTCAGACTGGGAAAAGCCCCAAAGGGCTTCAAGGGACAGGGTTAGAATTGGAAAGGATCTTGGCAAATCGGAGAAATGGTCTCAAAAATGATGTGGTACTATTCAGTAAGGTAAATGCAATGCACGTGGATCAGCAACCCAGTGGGAGATGGGATGTAATGGGAGAGGTGAAAGCTTGGGGATGTCATAGTCCCCAGGCAAACCTTTGTGCTGGAGATGACCATCACCCTGGGCTGCTGAAATAGGGATATTGGAGGTATCTGTAACAGCCCAGGGACAATCCTGCTCATCTTGATGCTGGTGAAGCCCCAGCTGGTGTCCTGGATGTGGGGCTGAGCACCGGTCTGGAAGAGAGCAGTGAGAAGGAGGGGAGGCACGGGGTCCTCCAAGTAGCATCTTGGGGGCTACGTGTCCTGTGTAACTCCAGAGGACATGGAAGAGAGACACGGTGGTGGTTTTGTAATGCACAGTGTGACGAAGGAAGGGAATAAATTGTTTTCTGTCCTTTTTTTTTTTTTTTTTTTTTTTTTGTGGTTGGGACCTCTGTGTAATGTGAGCATCAGTGCAGGATGTGGTTTCCCAGCTGCATTGGGAATTTCTGCCTGGATAAGGGCTGTCCCTGCATGAGCCAGACATGGGTTGAGGCATCCTTATGGCTCTGCTTTCTGATGGCTACTAGCAGACTGGGCTCCCCAGGGCATCCACAAAAGAAAGATAAAACACCAGTGGGAAGAGCAGAGCTTGTTTTATCCCATCCAGAAGCCACTGCTGGAGCGGGGATGTGTGCGGTTCGTTAGCGTACTTAGCAATTTGCATTTTCTAGACCTGCTGCTAACTAATCCCACCACACCCCTGCAAGGGACGTAGGTAGGTAAGAACGATTATCCCCATTTTCAGATAACAGGATCACAGGGGTTAACCGATTTCCTAAGGCACCTCCGTGGCTGAGTGAGGATTACAGCTCAGCTCCCAACTCCTTCTTTGTTCTCCCTTTCCTGCACCACAGGCTGTATCCTATCACTTCTTTACTTATTTCTCCTTTTAACTTTATGTATTTACATCTGCAGGTTGTTTTTTTGTTTGGTTTTGGTTTGTTTTGTTTTTTTTTTTTTCCCCCCATTTTGCTGTGTTTGGGGTGATGGCAAGATCTATTTTTCTTTCTAATGAGGGCATTTTTTCCCTAGCGTTAGCGCAGCATTGTTGACCCAGTGCTTGACAACACACAGGCCTGGCTGAGCTTTTGACCACTGTGTATTTAACAGCTAGACAATTTATTCACCTACCATGGCAGAGCTGTTTTTTGGGCAAGATGTATGACTTTGAAATGTGCTGGTCTGGCAAGCCGACACAATGACTGCTCTGTGACCGGCAAAGAAGTCATTACCCTGCCACGCTGGGAGATTTCAATTGCTATTGAAACAGATAATTACTGACAAGGATGAGCCGGGAGGTCTAGGCAGATGGCTTAGGGCTGGGGTACCTGCAGTGGTCCCCAAAGATGAGCATCCTGCCCCTGCCCAGGTCTGTGGGGTCTGGCTTAGCCCAGGCTCCCCCCGGCATCCCCTCTGATGTCCCCTGGAAGGGAAAACCCCAAATCAACCCCTTGACTCAATGATGGTCTCCTTTTGGGCTGCTAGACTCAATGGACACCACTCAGTTGCTGTAAAATAAGTGAAACTGGATCCTCCAAATGCTTTCCATGCAATACCTTCTCTTTTATAAATACTTAAGGTCTGTCTTATAAGTTGTTTTCCAAGTATTTTCTTTTGTATGCAGAAAATCTTGCCTTCTGATGTCTGTAAATTCCCTTTTGAGGACCTGTCACTGTCCAAGTAGCCAACTGTAATGGCTAAATTTCTCTCTCCCTTTCTTCCTGCACCTTGTAGTTTTGCCTCTCCCTTTGGTTTTATTTCCCCATTGATCTGAAAAATATGACCCACGTTATTCACTTCTTTGTTTCTCTTCCCTCTTGACCCTCCAAAGTGAGTGGTTTTTACGTCCTCATACATGCTGTGTCGTAGTTGGGTTTCTCAGTGGGCAGATTTGGTAAGATGTTAACGGGAGGAAGCAGGTGGAGTGTCTCCTGCTGCCTTTTTATGTATGCATTTTGCCTTGGCCGCAATTGTGGATCTTCTTTTGACTCAGCAGCTTAGTCAAAAATATTTTTAAAAATTCTGGTTTGGTCAATCGAAATGTTTCATTCAACCCTAAGTGCAATACTTCTTTGTACTGCACTTTGTATGCACCCTGAGTGTGTTTGCTCTTTGCATGGCTAAGCCTTTTAGAAACCTTATTTGAAATAAAGTGCATCCATTTCAGAATTCAAGTATCACCTTCAGATAAAAACTAAACATGAAATTATTTTTAAAAATCTCCCCCCTCTCTGCCTCCCTCCCCCCCTCCCTGTCTGCAGTTCTCAGTTCATTCTGATTTAGGATGAAGCCTGGTTTTGGCCATCCCCCTGCTGTGCTGTCATGCTGGGTGGTCTTCCAGCCAAAATAACCATCAGGTTCCTGCAGCCCCAGTCAGAGCATCTCCCCATTAACTTCCTTTCTTGTTATTATTAAATCTGAGTGCTTTTCCCTAAGAGGTACCCGGTGCCTGGAAAACCAGGCTCTCATCTGTCCCCACTGAAGTGATGTCCTGGTCTTGCCATCCTTCCCAGAAGATGCTCAAAGTGCTGGGAGAAACCCAAGAAGTGGAGCATCCCGCTGATGTTCCTGTTCAGCAAGGGAAGCTGCTTCTCTGCTTTAAGAAACAGGGATGATTTGGGGATGAAAAGTTCTCATTTTGAAGAGACTGTCAGGCTGAGAATCTTTCGTGAAACCGTTTCAAATGATTTTTTGAAGCGGTTCTGACAATGATGTTCAGGATTCATGTGTATGGTGTGCACAAAGCAGACATTTCCTGCAGTATTTCTGTTCCTGATGTGGTGGGAAACACCTTGCCTGCCATACAGTTGTCACAAACACATGCTAACAGAAATATTAAAGCCAGCAAAAAGTAGACGCATGCTGAGTTTCATCCCAGGGATCCTGAGAGGCTGGGTGCCAATTTGTGGATTTTACCTTTTCCTGCAGTTTTCAAAGTCTAGATGGTGGATTTAAAAATCTCACAGGGCCCAAGTACGAGCCACTTGCTTTGCAGAGTCTGTCTGAAGGTTGCACTGATCCCTGCAGCATCTCCTGGTGAGGATGGTGGCACGGGGCAGGTCTGGTGCCCACTGTGGGGTGCTGTCTGATCCTCCAGCACTCGGGGTAGACTCCTCTGCATGCCCAGGCTGATGGCACGCCGGGCTCTCAGGGTTTTAGTGGCACAGAGCATCCCATTGCAGCGCCTTGTGTCCCCTGGCACTGCTTCATTCCCTGGCACAGACGCCGGCTTTGTCCCCTCATCCCCTGTGCCGCCAGCTCAACAATAGTCGGGCGGCCGCCGCGCGCTGCTTGTGATGCTCCTCACAGGCATCTGCTGCCTTGTGCTTCCCCATCTGCTGCTCAGATCTGCTCCTGTTCTCTGCAAGAACCACAAGGGGCAAATGCTGCCCTTTTGTCTCTGGAGGGTTCGTCTGCTCCTGGAAGGGTTTTCACATGGGGCGGTGATTTCACTTGGATAATGGAATATTGCAGAATCACAGAATCACAGAGTGGTTTGGGTTGGAAGGGACCTTTAAAGGGCATCCAGTCCAACCCCCTGCCACGAGCAGGGACATCTTCAGCTCGATCAGGGTGCTCAGGGCCCCGTCCAACCTGGCCTGGGATGTTCCCAGGGATGGGGCATCCACCACCTCTCTGGGCAGCCTGAGCCAGTGCGTCACCACCCTCACAGTAAATAATTTCTTCCTTAGATCTCATCTAAATCTCCCCTCTGTCAGTGTAAACCTTTTCCCCCTTGTCCTACCCCCACCCCCTGACCCAGAGTCCCTCCCACCCTCCCCTGTCCCCCCTTTAAGCCCTGGGAGGCCGCTCGAAGGGCTCCCCGGAGCCTTCTCTTCTCCAGGCTGAACCCCCCCAACTCTCTCAGCCTGGCCTCCCAGGGGAGCTGCTCCAGCACTCTGAGTAATGGGCTTGTCTCTTGGGTATGCAAACACAGTCTCACCTCCTGGAGAAAGGTTATTGCAGTGCTTTGTGCCTCTTCAGAAGGGTTTTGCCGGGCAGGGGAGCATGCTCAACCCAAGCAGAGAACCGTTTCGGTTCTCTGCACTTTGAGAACCAAGGTTTGGGCACTGCAGCATTTCTGCAGTGCTCAGATACCCTCAAAGCAAAGATGATTGTTGAATACCTCCAGTGCTCTGGAGTATTTTGAGATGAGTCATGTCATGCCACTGAAGAAGAGGTCATAGTAACTCCAAATTTCCAGCTGGACATTGCCCACAGGTGACCAACCCAACTCAACCTGACACATGGACAAACTATCAAAAGCTACTGGGTGGTCTGGGCATTATTTCTGATCGATGGCCTTGGAGCCATCATTGACAGTAACTCATTTAAAGATTAAAAAGGGCATTGCACATGAAGAACACTGTATTTTTGGAAGAGGAGTGAGCACTGGTGTCACAGGTAAGGCTCTACCCAGCGCTGCAACATGCTTTCTCTAGGGAAGGGTCTCAAAGGCAGGCTGTAATTGCATAGAATGACTTTATAGCTCTGTATAAATTTAATCCTGTTTTCTCTGCTAAATCTACACCTACACACTAAAGTGCTTCTCATCAAGTATGCCAAAGATATATGTAATAATTAAGTAGTCTTCCATATAAGTCTTTTTTTTTTTTTTCAGGAGGTGTACTTTCAAGAAGTTCATCCTTATGATGCTGCTAAAACTTGCACGTAAAGAAGGCAAGCATATGTCTTCTGAATAATATGTCCTTAAGGACAAAAAGTCCTGTTGCAGTTCAAGAGGGCCAAGCAGTTTCCAGCATGAGACCATATTGCTGTTAATGTTGGAAAAAAGCAGGAAACATGCAAGTGGCTATTGCATGGGCATCACTCATCTGATAAAACCACTGGGTGAGGATTATTTTCTTTCACTCATGGACATCTGCTGCGGGCAGGTTAACCCTCCCTGAGTGTGTAGGGTGGGAAGGGGAAGAGAAAATGTTAGGTGAAACTTTCATTTTCGTTTCACATTTCTAGCATAGATTTCTGTGGGTATGAACCCTGGACAGCGGGTGAAAACATCCTGAAGCCACATAATTCAGAGGTTTTGCTTACCTGAGTCCAAGGGAGGAGGGGATTTTTTAGAATTTAGTCTCATCTTTGAGATTAGCAGATGGACACAGCATCTCCACTTTGGGGAGAGCCAGCCCAGCCCCACCACGCAGGGACCTCTCGTAGAGTGAACCATCTTGTGGTCCACCAAATGGTGATAGGTATTGCAAGTCTGGTCTCCCATCAACCTCTACTATAAATCATGGGACAGACTCCCTCAGGTCTCCAGGAAAGCAAGCTGTGTGCCAGGGAACTCTTCATTAACCAAGTGTTATTACACATCTGACTCCATTTCCCCTTATTTAAGCTTTCGTTTAGAGCGGTGTGGCTGGTGGGATGCTTGTCAGCATCACAGAATACTGTCTACAGGTAGAAAACGAAAAGCAAAATTGAAAATACTTGTGACTGCCAATGAAAACAACAAAAAAAAAGCTGTCTCTTACTGTATTTCCAAACTGCCTCTTATTGGTTTCATCCCCTGTCTGCGTTTGTTTCTCTCTTTCTTGGAAAGGAACTTGCACAATATCAGACTTCAGCACGTCACAGGCAGAAACGAGGTATTTCTGGTGAGGAAAGAATTGCAAAAAACAGGGAGGAGCTTTTCCTCCTATAGACTGAAAGAGCTCTGCAAAAGACTGTTCAAGGCGCTCCCAACGCTGGGAAACCTGCTCCTGTTTTGAAAGGGAAAATACCCAAGGGATGCTGAGGTGATCAAAAAAACACAGATCCCAGGAGAATGGGCAAAGGGATGGGGGGAGAGAAGATACTTTAGACTTGTTCAGAGTCAATGACTCTCTCTTCCAACCCTGCTCTCACATTACATAAAATAAAACAGGACATTTCAGGACTGAAGTCAGAACATCCGTGGTGCACCAAGTCCATGGCTCCAGCTGTGTGACATGATCTTCCTGTTTAGCTGTTGGTAACAATGCTTAGTCTAAGATAAAAATCAACAAAAAGATAAACTCACCACTTCTTACTGCAATCAGGAAAAGGGATTAGGCTGCTTGCCCAGCTGGTGATACCACTGACACAGGTAAAATACAAATAGTATGTATATAGACCTTTAGTCATGTGTCAGCTTGAGTGTGGCCATGGACATGAAGCTGGGCTTCTGCTACCAACACATTCTGGAGTAGGAATTTCTGGGTAAGTGGCAGTAATTCTCTTTTATGAACCTGGGCTTCTCTTTTACGCTGGGGCAGCAGGGCTCAGTGCTGCTCAGGGTTGCTCTAAATACACCCAACAAATCTGCTTACCTATTTTTCCCCTGGAAATCCGACGTGACCTGTTTAAAGGCAAGGCTTACCTTGATCCTTCTGCCTGCGATGCTGCAGGAAGGTTACTTGGGTGCAGAGGAGAAGGTAAAACATCGCGGTGTGCTGTGTTTTGCCCATCGCTGCAGACTCAGCAGGAGCTCATGGCTTGGGCTCCCCCGTGTGGGATGGGATTTTCCATTTAGGATAAATGCTGACAAATACTCCCCACGACATTGTACTGACTGGAGGTACAATATTTATCAATACCCACCTGCTGCTGGAGAATACCTGTGGCTCCCTCGACTGCTCCAAGCCTCTGTGCGATAGCAGTAACATCTATTTGCAAAGTTGGTGAGGGACAGGGAGACATGTATTTAATTTAGTTAATTAATACAAATGGCAATTCAGCCTGCAGCTCCAGCACAGGTACCTCTGTGGGTGGCTTTGCCCTCAAACCACCTTTTGAAAAGCTTTTCTCAGTTACAGATTTTCTAACACTGGTGCCTCTCACCGCTCCGGAGCTTACCTGTGAAATGAGCCTGATGGGCTCATTTCTGTTCGTTCTCTGCAGGGGAAATCAAGTATTCTCTTTCAGTCTGCAACGGTTTCCACTTTTTGTAAGGAAAAAAAAAAAAAAGTGTGCATGCAGAAAGGAATTTCAGGGTGCCACAGTTTTATTAAGTGCATTTGCTAGTGTGGTAGGATAGCAGGATGGAGCAAATAATTTACAGTGAATAACTGAGTCAATTCATTTGGCTTCGCTTTTCTTGCCTTACCATCCTTTTGACCAAATAATTATTATTTACCTGAAATTTTATGCACCAAAGAGCTTCAATGAAAAACCTTCACCATATAGCTATTTTATAGCTATTTTATGTCATGGGGACTTAAGACATGTTAATTAAACTTAGCAGATATCCGTGTTGCACAATATTGCATCTTGTTTCTGAATGGGTTCACCTGGGGTTTGGAGTCAGGTCTCCACAGCAAGTAGTAGTGGATCCTAGTCTGAAAATATAATTCTCAGCAATTTGTCTCTAATAATTGTCTCTAATAATTACCTGTTGTAAATATGGTCGGCAACAAATCCACTTCCTAAAAAATACTCAAAGAAAGCAAACAAAAAAGGGATGAAAATGTGGCTAAAACAAATTCTCTAGGGTCTTCTGAGTCTTTGCAGGTGCTTCTGCCTGGTGTAAAAGTCCCAAGGTGGCCCCATCTCACGGGTTTCTCTCTGTGGGCCCATGACTCTTCCTAAAGGCCCTGTTTTGGGCTAGGGAGTTATCTGGTGTGATGTGTGGTCTTCAGGTTTGTGCCGAGAGCTGAGAGCAAAGGGATATCCTTTGGGACATCTTCAAACGTCCATTGGGAGTCATCTGAAGATGGAGATCTGTGCTGAAGTGCAGCTGGTAGGGCTGATGGGCTGGAGACATTCAGTCCTCACCTGCCTGGTCTGACCCTGGAACTCAGATTTCTTGGAGCAAAGATATATACCAGCTGCAAATATACAAATATACATCAGTTCCCAAGAACTAAGCCTCTCCAGAATAACTGATCTTCTTCCTTTTCCTGAGGTCATGGGTTCACCATGCTGCGCAGGACAGCCCAGGAAAATCGTGGTGGACTGCCTTGAACAGCTTTTCAAGGTGTACTACAACAACTTCAATAAATAAAGGAAGGCCACAATGTAGATATTCAACATTCAAAATCAGCATCAAAAGTCATGAGTCATATTCCAGAAGAACTTGGCATTTCTGATTAAGTGGTTTTGTGTTGTTTCTAGTTTGAGAGCTTTTGGGTCACAGTTTCTGGTTTTCCCTTCAGGTCATAAAAGCATAAAAACTTGTAGGGTTCCCAGTTCTTATGATTTTGTTATGAATCTGCTGTGATCTGGCTCTTTTCTTCAGCTTCACCTCCTGGAGCCTGGGGATGCTGGTCAATATTAGAAAAGTCAGTGAGTGAACCGCAACTCAACAAAAGATTGATGGCCATGGTGTCCTGGGCTTTGGGTCCCCAGGGAAGGGGGACAGCTGGGGATGCCTGGGGATGGCGTGGGAATGAGCCCGCTGAGCTGCAGGTCCTGCTCTCACCCCAGAACTGTCCCTGTGCTCACATCGCCCCTTCTCAAGTCTCTGAACTGGGGAGTGCACTTATTATTTAAATTCTGAAAGAAATTGTAAGAAGCCTGACCCCGGGTCAGCAGAAACGCAGCTCAGCTTTTAATGATGTTCTTTATTAAAGTAAATTCCTTCAGCTGTGATGGGGGTAAGAGTGAAACAATAGGGGAAGGCAGAGGGTTAAAATTGCTTAGCTGGTGTGAAGCAAACTGTGAGGAGCAGGTCCCAACAGGCCCCCACGTAAGTAATTCTTTCTTCAGACTTAATCTTCCATCTCAGTTTACACTTAAGCACATAATCCTTCTTGCTTTAATATTTCTACCTCACTCTGTGGCTTCCCTTTGTTCCACCAAGGCAGCAAAAAAAGGCTAAGACTGGGATGAGAGATTCAGGTGTGTGTGGACCTTGTGGGTCCATCTTCTCTTCTGGGAGAGGTCCACTTCTGGTGTCATGGAGGACTTGAGATGGGATTAAATAGGTCCAGGTCTAGGATTTACCTCCCTGACCCTGTATGACAGTCCAGCTGAATAAATTAATCGCAACAAGTTTTGGTGAGACGTTGCTTTGGAGAACACTAAGGAAACGGACTTCACTTCACCTACAGATGTTAGAAATACGGTCCTCCTGGGGGTTATAAATGCCTTTGAAAGGACTGAAATTGAGCATGATAGTGCTGGAAACCAGACACTGCTAACCTGTGATCCAGAAATGAGCTGGTCACTTACGGGTGAGCAGCAGATGTGTCCCCCCGAGACGCCCCAGCGTCGCCATGTAGGATTTACGGGTGAGGGTTTGTTGTGCGTGGAGTCACGTTGCTGCTGTGTCAGGGATGGCCCTGAAGCTGTGAGCTCATTTTGCTGTTCAAAAGAGCGAACTGAAGGGAACCAAGAGGCAGAACTTCAGCTATGTCAACTGGCCTGCACCTGCACATACATTTGATACACCCCATAATTCCTTCCATACTGCTTACACCTTCAGACAATAGATTTATGTAACTATTATACAACCAATATGGACAGAAGTTTAGAGAACTACACATTTTTTTATTGACTGTAAAGTCATTATACAAATCTATCACCTAAAATATCAGCGCTGTGGAAAGAACTTGATACTCCTAAAGCAGCCTTTATAAAAGCTTTATTGGATTTTAATTTGTAGCACGGGCTATAAATTGTGCAAGCTGCAGTGCTCGTACCTTGTCCCTGACATGGCATACATTGGGCTGCCCTTGAACCAATGACAGTGACAAAGATGCTCTTTTTAATAAAGTAACTAACTCCATGAGAGGTCTCCTTCAAACACTTTATTACGGTTGTATTAAGCTGTCCACAGCCAATTGCCTTTGCTTTTAGCGTGGAGAGGGTAGATGAGCTCTATTAGGGCTGGTCAGATTGCAGATCTTGCAAAATATTTTTTGAGGGTTGACACCTTTCCTGCCTGTAGTTAAAAATGTCCTGTCTCTAGAGCTAATATAGGGATCCCAATTCATGTCTTAGTGTGGTCCTTAAGTCCTCTCACTTTAACTGGCATGGATATATGGCACTGAAAAATTTCTGCATGCACTGACTACTCGTTATATGCTAAATTCATTCGAGCAAAGCAGTTAGTTTGGGGCTTAATTCTGTCCTGTTTATCAGCATCCCTGTGTCCAGATGATTGCTTTTAATATTCACAGTAGGCACAAAGGGGACATTTTTAATAGGGTAAATTAGAAATCCATCTAGATGCATTTTGGGTGTCCAAGTGTTTCTAAAATACCTGTCTCGGAGCAGTACCTAAATGCCATGGGAGATCAGTGATGTTTAAGCAAATTGTAAAGGGCTCTGCTAAATACACCGATGGATGGTGCATGTGGGTGCTTCATGGAGGCTCTACCTTTGAGGCATGGACGCAGGCAGATAACTTGTTTTTCCAAAGTATTCTTGCTGTCTGACCTGGGCTGGACTCAGTGGAGTAAAATTAGTACGTAAGTGCTTGCAGGTCTAGGTGTCTTGAAAGACAAGCAAGTATATATTTTAAAATCAGATGAAAACACTAAATTTCCACATGGAGGTTTCAGAGCGATCATTTCTCCTAACTCCTTGCCACACTCCATGAACCGCTCATGCATGCTGCCAGTGATTTGGTGAGTGAATAGCACACATCAAAAGGCATCTTTCTCTTCATGCATATGGTCCACCTTTTCCCAAAATTACTGTGCTCCAGTACTTCTGTGTGCTGCATAGCCATTGATAACATCATTTAGGGACACAAGAACTGTTGCCCTGCAGCAGATACGGTACAAAAATCCATTTGCCCAGGGTTGTTTTTTTTTTTTTTTTTTTTTTTCTATATCTGTGCTCAGGACAAAAAAACTTCAGAATTGAAAGCATAAATGTACCCCTGTTGAAAAAAATACAGCAGTATGCCCATGGGAATTGTCTTGCTGACTCCAGTTATTTAGTGATTGAAGCCTTAAAGACTTCAATATATGTGAAAACTATCAGTCTTTATACACAGAGCAAGAAACAGCTGTAGGTCTTACCCAGACTACTTAGCTGTAGAGCTTATTTGGGTCTGAGTAGATCCAGTAGTAGGTGTCCCTTGGCCTGCATCACTCGAGGGTTCATGAAGGTGACATGTAGCCAAGGGAAGAGCAGCACCAGGTTTTTAAAACAAGGGACGGTGGTGGACTCCTGAAACTAGTAAACAAAACACTGTGAGAATTTCTGATCATGATAGATGACCATCCCTAATGCCAAAAGCCCCTGCTCCTCCCAGCTATCCTGCTCCATAGACTGTGATGGAGGCAGGTGAAATGACACTTATCTGGGATTTGTTTCCTGGGTCTGAAGCCCTCACAGCCTAATTACAGTCACTAGAAATAAAGCAAAGCTTTTGAGGGAACGTGCCGTTCCCAGGAACGTTGTGTGATAGCTCATGTCTGATGGGTGGTAGTTGGCCTTGCGCCTCCTCCGGCACCAATCGCTGTGAATGTGAAAACTGTGATAAAATGAGGAGGATTGGAGCTCTGTTTGAAATTTAGATCTACACGGGAGTGGATTTTTGTAACCACCCAAACTCAGACTTAAAGAGCTGTGAGATATAAACTTGTAGCAATTTCAGTTTGCCCTGTGATTAATGATTTTAGATCGTTTATTTTGCAATACGTGGTTTGATTTTGGACCTGATATGGATCCTGGCGCGCACTGCTGTGAGGGATACATCCCATGCTTCAAAGATCCTGATTTCCCAGAGCAGGGGAAAGTGATAAATTACTTTCCCTGGGAAGAAAGCATAAACAAAAAGAGTAAATAAATCCTGGCTGTTCTTTAAGAGGAAGCTACAGCATTGCCAAATTGTGCCTCTAGAATCATGTAAGGACACAATATTGCCTCCTGGTTAAGCAAAGGTTGTAATTAGAAATAAAAAGGTGCCATTCAAAACATGGAAAGGAATTGGAAATAGCACCCATTTTAATGAGAATGTGTTAGTTGTAGAGATGAATAAGGAAAGTTTTCATCAGTGGGAAAAAAAAAAAACCCTAGAATGGCAAAAGACAAAAAGGAGTTTCTAGCAAGTGTCCTGGGAAGATATCCCAGGCACAGCAAGGTCAACCAGGGGATTATTAATGTGACAATGAACACGAGGAGCTTCCCGTAATTGCCTTTGTGCTGCGTTTTGAAAGAACCGGGGTGATTTCTTGAGTCGCGTGGGGATGGCAGGGAAATTTCCAACCCGTTAGCAATCCTGGAGGATATTAAACACCAGCGAGCGGGGATGAACGTGTCTGAATCTGCGAGGCTGGGCTATTTGTCCTGGGCAGGAGAGCTGTCTTGGTGCCCCTTGTATGAACATCCCAGAGGAGACGGGAGTGTTGCCGTGCCGGAGCGGCCGATGAGGGCAGGGCAGGCAGGAGGCCCCGGGTGAGCATCGGTTGGGCTGCCTGACAATTTCTGGGTGGAAGAATGGAAAAGGTGACATCAGATGTGATAGATAAAGAATTAAAGCGCAGGAGTGTAATTAATGCCAGTCAAAATGGTTTTATGGAAAATAGATCTTGTCAAAGAAATGTGATTTCATTCTTTGATGAGATAACACATTTGGTTGATAAAAGTGACTGTGTTGAGGTAATAGACTCCTCTAAAGCGGTTAGTGCAGTGCGGGCTGACACTCTGATTAACATTTATCGTGGTAAGCTATCAGTAACGAGCACATTAAATGGATGGAGGGCTGGTTAACTGACAGGTCTCTGAGAGGGGCTGTCAGGAGGAAATCAGGAGCAAATGGTGATATTTCCAGTGAGATTCCTCCGTTGAAATCGGTGCTGGAGGCACCTGTGCATGGTGTAAGGGATGGCATGATGTTTTTTAACCGTATCCCCGTTACTGCCCCACGAACACCTTTTTCTGTAGTTTTATATTATTCATGTAATGTGATTACCAAGTGGCTGAAAAGAGGGAGAGCATCCCCATTTTATTGGCTTCTTTGACACCTGGAAGATCACCAGCAAGGGGGATTTTATTCAGGTTTTGCACTTAAGGTGCAAAAATGAGAGCAGAGCTCGTAAGGGATATTTAATTGGTAACTTTTTTTAAGCACCTACTTCTTG